AGCCATTTTGTTCAAATTGTGATCAGTGCCTTCAAAAGACACTGGGTTCACAAACTTTCTTTTCTAATGACATTTCGAATTTGTTTTTCACCTGTTAGAAACCTTTAGATCAACATGTCTGAAGGCATCAGGTGAGTTTCTTTAGCAAAGATTACAAGTTTAAAGTGTATATGTGTATATGCATGCACAACGTCTGTGTACTGTACATGTGTGTGTGTATATAAAGATTACAGATTAAAAAAGAACATCTAACTTGATCTATTACTACAGAATGGAGCAAAATATTTTAAAACTGGACACATTGAAGAATATTTCTGAATAATGGACCCAGAAACTAAATTAAATTGTCTGCCTCTATAGTTTGTGTTTAAAAATTATTATGAGAGAGGAACAAGTTTTACCAGACAAAACTGATCTGAAAGTGGATTTAAAATCACAGGTTATAAGCATGATATGGAAAAAGATGCTACACTAGACATACAAATGAAACTGGCTTAATAATTAAAGGGATTTACAAGAAACAAACCAAGAGAACAGCCTGGATAATTTTCCTAAATTGGATTTACAAAACACTTTGAAGAATTTTGTGAGAAGGGACAAGTAAAAATGAAATCAAGTTCTACAGATTTATTGGAAGGGTTTAAGGATCAAAAATATTAAAGTAAAAGGAAGGTATATAAAGTTTATTTTATTTGATCAAGGTTAAAATAGATATGTTATCTCTAGTAACCCTTACAAGACTTTTGCTGATCAGGACTGAAATGACATGGTTTTAAGGATTTGTTTATAGGCAAGACAAGAGATACAGGTAGTCCTCGAGTTACGAGTGTAATGGAGCCTGCTCATTCTACTCATAACTCAAAAACTCGTAAAGTGAATCTTGTACCTCGAACGAGATCACTCCCTTGCTCGTTAAGATACATGCAGCTCGTTAAGTGAACATGAGGTATCTCAGGGTGGGAAAGGCCATGGAGAACCTAGTGATGGAACAGGCCCCCAAGGCCTCCCCGACCCATTAAGATACCTCATGCTTCCCCCTCCCTTCCTGCTGTGCTGGACTCACCTGGAAAAGATCCGTCTCCTCTCTGCCGCGGTTCCTGTTGCCGCCCGAATCTGTGCCCGGGGGATGCTTCCGCAGCCCCCCACAATCCGATCCGGGCTTCGGAGGCCTTTTCCAGGCCGCTGCCACCCAGATCTGAGGCTGGGGGACACTTCTGCGACCCCGTGACCCGATTTGGGCGTCGGAAGCCTTTTCCAGGTTGCTGCCTCCAGGAAACAGTCTGTCGGAGGGCTATGTAAGCATCCCCCGGCCTCAGATCCGGGCGGCAGTGGCCTGGAAAAGGCCTCTGGAGCCTGGATCAGGCTGCAGGGGGACTGCAGAAGCGTCCCCCGGCCTCAGACCCAGGTGGCAGCGGCCTGGAAAAGGCCTCCGATGCCCCGATCCAGCTCTGGAGGCATGTGGAAGTGTATCCTGGCTTTGGTTCCATTCCCTGTTGCACAGAACAGAGGTCTAAAGTACTGTGAGATCATAGCATGAGATCTCGCCCCACTGATCTCATGTGATCTTATACTACTTTAGGCCTTTATTCTCTGTGAACACACGGAAGGCCTGGAGCAGCCTAGAAAGGGAAGGATCTCTGTCTTTGCACGGTGAGTATTGAAGGCCTGGTGCTTAGGGAGACCCAAGCGGGGGTGGGGAGGGAGGGAATAACCGGGATGAATGTTGCAGTGTCACTGCAGTCGCTCGTAAGGGTGAATGACTGCCATGTTGTGGCAACATTCGTAATTTCAGGACTTGCTAGTAAGCACTAGAGGGTGCTCATCACGTAACTTTGAATGAGCGTTAAGTGAACATTCGTCACTCGGGGATTACCTGTACAGAAAGATCATTTGTTTCATTTTAAGAGAATGTGATAACTTACTAAAATTATTTATAAAATTTTAATACACTTGTTTACAAAAGTATGAGGAGACATAATAAGTATCTGCTCTTTGAAACACAGCTTGGTAATTTACTGGGATCCATAAATAAAATCTTCAGCCAATAGTCAAATACATTAATTGCTAGGTGATTGTATATGGGATACATCCAACTCTGCCTTTATTGCTGAAGCTGTCATGGATTTGTCCACCCCCAAGATGTATTTCAGGAAATCAGACTATATTTATTTCAGTAAGGGAACATTTGTGCATAGTTCTGCAATGTATCTAATAATTATTTTGCTGTTGTATACCTTGATGATTAGAACTAGGAACCAAGAAACCTATGTTCAGTGAGCTACCTTACAACAACAGTAACTAGTTGCCTGGAGAATGAATTCAATATAATGCAAACATAAGCAATAGAACATAATGATACCAGAGTCTTAAATTTTAAAAGAACTGATTTTAACAAACTCAGAGAGAGTTTGGCAAAGAGACCTTGGATGAAAATCCTAAAGGGGAAAACAACTCAAGAAGCTTGGGAAACTCTAAAAAATATGATCATAAAAGCCAGTCCAGCACAATACCACTGAAAAAGAAAAACGAGAAATCTAAGAAGAAACCAGCATGGCTGCACAAAGATTTCTCTGACAAACTGAAAGACAAAAAGGACAAGTACAAAAAATGGAAAGAAGGACACCTAACTAAGGCAGAATATCAGCAGTTAGCCAGAATCTGCAAAGACGAAATCAGGAAAGCAAAGGCTCAAAATAAACAAAGACTTGCAACAAGAGCCAAAGATAATAAAAAAAGTTTATTTCAACACATAAATAACAAGGAAAAAAAATCAAGGAAACAGTCGGTCCACTAAAGAGAGAAGCCGGTAAGGAAGTAACAGGCAGCAGAGAGAAAACAGAGCTGCTTAATTTATTCTTTGCATCGGTCTTCATGCAAAAAGAAATTATAGCCCAACCTACCAAAAACATAACTGTAAAAGATAGATTAGAAATAAAAGTTAAAATAAGCAAAAAAAAAAAAATGGTAAGAGAACATCTGTCTGATCTTGATGAATATAAATCACCAGGACCTGATGGATTACATCCCAGAGTTCTGAAGGAGCTGGCAGATGTCATCTCAGAACCACTGTACCATATCTTTCAAAACTCCTGGAGCACCAGGGAACTATCTGAAGACTGGAAAAGAACTGATGTGGTTCCCATCTTCAAGAAAGGAAAATAAACAGACTCAGGAAACTACAGATCAATATCAGCCTAACATCAATACCTGGGAAGATACTGGAAAAGATAATCAGAAAATAGATCTGCGAACATCTAGAACAAGTAAAGTAATAACTAAAAGTCAGCATGGGTTTGTTAAAAACAGATCATGCCAAACCAATCTTATTTTATTCTTTGATGAAGTGACTAAATTAGTAGACCAGCGAAATGCTGTGGACATAGTATACTTAGACCTCAGCAAGGCATTTGACAAAGTAGATCACAACCTACTTCTTGGTCAGCTAGAAAAAAATGGGATAGATAGCATCACCATCAGATGGATTTGCAACTGGCTGACAAACTGTACTCAACGAGTAGTCCTTAATGGTACTACGTCTACATGGAGGGAAGTAAGCAATGGGATACCACAAGGTTCCGTCTTAGGCCCAGTACTCTTCAATATCTTCATAAACGACTTAGATGAGGGAATAGAAGGGGAACTTCTATTCCAGATGGATCTTGACAAACTTGAACTCTGGGCCAAGTGTAAAGTCTTACACTTAGGCAGGAAAAACCAAAAGTACACATATAGATTGGGTGAAACCAGGCTAAATAGCAGCAACTGTGAGAGGGATCTTGGAGTGTTAAAGGACAATCAATTAAATGTGAGTCAACAGTGTGTGGCAGCAGCTAAAAAAGCCAATGCAATCCTAAGTTGCATTAGCAGAGGGATTCAATCAAGATTGCGTGAGGTACTAATACTACTCTATAAACCCTTAGTAAGACCACACCTAGACTACTGCAACCATTTCTGGTCTCCACACTATAAAAAAGATATTTAGACTCTAGAAAAAGTGCAGAGAAGAGCAACAAAAATGACTAGGGGACTGGAGGCTAAAACATATTGAAGAACGGTTACAGGAACTGGGCATGGCTAGTCTAGTGAAGAACCAGGGGAGACATGATAGCAGTGTTCCAATATTTGAGGGGATCTCACAGAGAGGAGGGAATCAATCTATTTTCCAAAGCACCTGAAGGCCAGACAAGCAATAACGGATGGAAACTGATCAAGGAGAGATTCAACCTAGAAATAAGGAGAAATTTTCTGACAGTGAGAACAATCAACCAATGGAACAGATTGCCTTCAGAAGTTGTGGAAGAGTCATCACTGGAAGCTTTCAAGAAGAGACTGAACTGCCATCTGTTAGAAATGGTGTAGGGTCTCCTGCTTGGGTGGGTTGGACTAGATGACCTACAAGGTCCCTTCCAACCTGTTATTCTATTCTATTCTGATTTAGGGCAGAATATGCTTCCTTTTTCACTACTGGGGAAAAGGCAATCAAAGCTGGATGGCTGTAGTCCTTAAAAAACTCCTCTTGAAACGTGGGAACCAGACATTCTTTTCTGTGACAACAATTCCTAAGTACACATAGGACTTAACCTGGTCTCTATAAACATGTTCAGGCTCCAGTTACACTTAGTCCTTCTAGTCCTGAAGACAACCAACTTGGCCTTGGACTTACTAATATTAATATATTTAGAAACACAGTATGAACTGAACTTATGCAGTAATCTTATCATCCCTACCTAGGAGTGCAACATTAATATTATATAATTTCCTAAAATGGATAATTACAGATTTATTTTTAACTTTGGACATCTAGGTCTGCCAGATATATAGTCTGAACTATACATTTTGCAACTGGCTTTCTTCAAATTAACAGCTTTTCTAGTATCTGTAATAAAACTTAAAAATTTTATGAACAGCAAGACTCTGAGTCTTTTAGTTCAAGTATAGTCTGGTTGAAGGCTGACATTTGAGACACCTCTGGGAAAAGTTAAGTATAGATGTTTGTTTTACCCCATCTGTGCCAGAACAAACATCCAGCTTTGATTGCTTCTTTTCCTATAGTGAAACTCCAAAAGGAAGCATATTCTGCTCTAAATCATCCTCCGGGCTGCTAATTACTACAGGTTTGTGCAAGTTGGGGCTAAAGAGTGTGTGTGCATGCGTAGTATACTGTATATATGTGCTACTATTATTTATTAGAACCTTCTATAAGAAAAATAAAACTTGAAACTTCATTATAGCATAGACCAGCATGCAGTAATACAATATAAAGGTGTTTTTTTTTTAAATTACATGATAAAAAAGGGGGAAATTTACAAAACCAATCAGGGTAGAATTAAACTTGCTACAGTAGGTAACTAATAATCAAAATAATAAAACTTGAAATTAAAAGAATATTTAATACACTATCAAGAAGCTATTATACCCAGAAACTTAAAACATTTTTTAAAAGTGCCATAAACCTATTTCTGCATATTTACAACTGAAAATGAATCCTTTTATTTAAAAAAAAAATACTTAGAATATGCCATCGCTACTAAACTGAGTTCCTATACAAAAAAATGGAAGGAAGAGGAGTCCTGTAATTTTATCTAGAGTAGTTCAAAGTGTTTAGAATAATCCCTTAGTATGAGTTCCATGTTTCCCATTATGTCTTAATTTAATTTGATTGCAACTCGTGCCACTTCAAAGGAAAGTGTAATTGTTGCCAAATAGGAAATATCAAAATTAAATTTGTTCTGCTTTTACTGCAACCATTGTCATCTTTTCTTCATTTAGAAGGAGAGCAATAAAAGGGTTACAACGGGTGCAATCAGACAAGTCCCACGTTGAGTATCAGATGCCTGCAGCGGAGGACTAGAATCACTGTGTCTAGACTCTCTGGCACCTGACTTCACTTATTTACCAGTGACCAGAGGCCAACCCCCAACTGCTTTCCTTTCATACACCTCAGTCCAGTTCTCTCTATCCCCAGCTCACACATCTTTGAATGATTATGCCAGACCTGCATGCCTCTGACTGGCTACTCCCTAACTCTAATGTTTGAAGTAAAGCTCTGGTTTCTTCAGCAGATAATCGAGGACAAAAGCTAACGGGGCTGTCAACTGAGGACGTTTACCAGCATTAAGTAGATCAAAGAGGGACCAAAAAAGCATAGTGGAAAACATGTGGATAAGTCAGCTGCAGCTTGCCTACTATTCTGTGGAAGAATATTGAATATCACTATGACATCATTGCATAACCATGCTCTTTGATTGGCCAGACTATTACCTATAAGCTCTGTTACAAACATATGGTTTATATTTGCACCTATTTAAATAACGCTTGTGATGGTGGGATATAAACAAGAATGGACTTTTAATTCTAACTACAATTTCATCCATTAATCTATGGAAATGAAAAAAGTTTTCTAGTGATATTGTATTCTCATCAAAGATTGAAGTATTGCAAAACAATTCTATGAGCCTGCAAGTTCCATACATGAAACAAACAGAACTTTGAAAACAGATTTAAACAATCAAAGTTTATTTGACACTTCTGTTACAGTCTGCAAAATTATGATAAACTGGAAGCTTATAATTTACATTTCTGAAAAGGAAGAATCAAAGATTCAATCTCACTTTTTATGATAGTTGGATATGGAAGAAAAAGGAAAAAGTAAGCATATATTTTGGACTATTTCTAAACACTATATAAGAATTATCAATAAACAGTGCCTCCACAGACCAATGATACAAACAAGTATAAATAACCACAACTAGGAGCGGCAACTCATTTGTTACAGTCACTAAGTGAAACCATGAGTGGGCTTATGATTTTACTTCAGCTTTCCTTTCCTTTACAGACCTGGTAAGGTCATAAATGTGAGGAATGATTGTAAAGATATTTCTTCATCATTATTATATTGTGAACAGCAACTGTACAAAGAAGTTACTAAATGAGGACTACCTATAAATGTATTTCTATTACATGGGAACAAAATAAATGACCAGTGATATAAATATGCCAACTGATGTAAATATAGACTATACTGGACAGACGATTCTGATTCTAATTGCAAATCATATGCTTTTATTTCTTAGTTTATTAAGGCATAGATGCCACACTTAATTTCTATTCAGACCAATTTGCTTAACAAATTAGAGAGATAACTTGCCAGAAAGTAAATAAAAAAGAAGTGTAATTATAAGGGGAAAAACAGCTACAGATACTTTAAAAAAATCAGTTCAATTTATTAAATAGCCATTTACTAAAAAGTTTAGGTATTAAACTCTATTGTCACAAAAAAGAGTAAATTTGAATATTTCTTATTTTAGACTAAAGTCTATAATAAAAATCAGTTCTGTTCATATTGTGAACAGTTCAAAGGCTTGTTAGTCTCCCCTTCCCCACCTACCCCCTCAGTGAAGGCAGAAAACTGTAAGATAGGATATTCTCAAATATAGCCCTGAGTTTATGGAATAACCTTCTAAAGAAGCCTCCCTGTTATCCATCAGATACCTAAAAGAAAATCCTCTTCTGCCAAGTATTTTAGATTTTAAAAATCACTTCCATTTATCAATTAATTGTCATATTATACCAGATATCACTGACATTTGAAGCAACGATCTGAACAGATACTTTACCAGATTTTAACTATCCAATTGTGAAAATTTTTAAAAACTAATTGTAAGGATGGCCGTTTGACAGATTAAGTTACAATATATACAGTATATTGTATATGTATATTGTATATGTATGTTGGGGATTTCCATATTTATGTGTCAAAATTTCATTATAGAATACTATGGATGCGATCCAACCTAAATGGTACTGTTTACAATCAAGTATTTTTTTTTAAATGACTGGACTCCAAAAATACTAAACTAAGGTTAATTTGTGCAATAATTAGATTCATGCTGTATATATGTGTACTAAATATTGACATGTAACTGGAACAGAAACCTATCAACTAAGCAGAATTACCAGCAAAAGAAATGTTTTGAATAAACCAGATCAAGAACATTAAGTTACTGAACATATCAATACAATCTAGTGCCTTTACTGAAAAAATGAATGGAAATATAAAATTACAAGGACCTCAGTGTTAGTTAAAAATCTCAACAGCAGAGTAGGATAAATATATCCCTAAAAGTTGCCCTGAGATATTTGTAAAAATCTTTTATAAAAAGATGTGTTTAAATACTATCATTATAATTTAAATAGTGCAACCATAATAAAAAATAGTTCAGCATTTGATGTAGAATTAAAGAATATTCAACAAAACTGAAAAGACAAAAGCAGCAGCAGAATTAATATCACATTACTCTACCCCTTAAGCTTTACTTGGAGACCCACTAGCTGTTGACTCTTGCTTTAAGGACTTTCAAGATAGAACTAGTATGAAGGGGGGGAAAACATACCTACCTGAGGTATACAGTCAGTATAAGCAAACATTGACTTAAAACGATCATCCATGCTTATATGATAGAGAATACACATAGCCACTTGTTTATAATTTTCATTTCCTGGGGGAGGAGGAAACAAAAACATTTAACAATGAGCATCTATATGAATTAGTCACATCTGATTTATATTTAGCCACATTTAGAAACTATTTTCAAAGCTTACAGAAGGAACAGTTTTTTCTAATGATTATGACTGTTTTTAAAATAAAGTATTTTCAAGGAAATCTCATACTAAGAAGAAAAGAAACAAGGGAACCAGTTTAGAGAGAAATTTATTTTGCTATTGTATAGTGCAGTTATTATCCTTTATACTCACAGAGAAGACAATCATAGGTAAGTCAATCTTGAATTTTTCACCAAAATATCATAAGCTGACCGTTGAAATTTTTGTAAGTTTTAATTTTCACAATTGGTTTATCCACAGATGATGCATTTTTCATAATATTTTCACCGTATTCAAGGGTTAGCTTATCTGCAGATGGGCCATGAGTATATCAGGACACTTTGAAAAGGTACTACTGTACATACTCGCACATAAGCCAAACCCAATTTGGGGGGTATATTCTGGAGCCTAAAATTCTCAGTTTATCCACAAGTCTATACTTGTGTTTACTTTCCTCATAGGTATTTTATCTTTAGAGTAGGCTAAATGTTGCAAGGATGTAAATTGCCAATTATTTTCCCTTTTATTAGGATCTCCTGCTTCCCCATCCCATCAATTTAAAAAGCTTAGTAACTTGTTCATTAGTTCTATGAATAAGATTTGAAAGGATTGATGAAGAGTTGTATACAAAGTGAAGTAGAAAAATAAGATTCTTTGTGCAGACCAGGTAGAAATACTTTGGGCACAATCCAGTTAAATGTTTTGGACTGGAATCAACATGAATGAATGAATGAATGAAAAGTATTTTACTAAACCTTTTTACATTATGGAGAAATTCTATAAAATTATATCTTTCTAAGACATAATATATAGTATAATATTATATATAATATATATAATATATAATATATAGTATAGAACATAAACATTAACTTTCCAATAAATGTGGAATATTGGATGAAAATAATTTTTCATGTGATCCTATAATATACTTATTCAGAAATATTTGTCCTCAAACTTCAGATAATAAAAATACTGTTGAAAATCAACTATGGAAAGTGTCTGGAATACGCACTTTACACATCATGCAAGTAAAAAACTAATGATATCTTAATATTCTAAAAAAAAACATTTCTGGAGCTACGTTGTTTAGCCTTATTGAACTGTCTGATTCTCATGTATGATAAAGGATTTTATTTCTTTTCTAGATATCAAAATGTACCTTAAAAAGAAAAAAAATTGCCATATCCTATTTATCATTACCACAGCCATGTTCTTCATCTAAATGTCAGGAAATAGCTAAGCAAAACTATGGACATCATCTCTACTTTTTTCCTTAAGCGCAATGGTCTATTTTAAAATAGTTTCAGTTTATTTTTCAACAAATCATACTTGGAAGATTTGAAATAAATTGTGAGAAGGGAATTAGAAAGGGACTAGTGGAAGGTGCAAGTCTGGGGAGGGTGTCTGTCATTCTCTCAATTGCATCATTTGCCAGTGAAGGCTGGAATAATCAACACAATCCCTCCCCCCCAGCACCCTCCACAGACAGAAATTATATTTTATATTATAGTTTTCTAATAATTATAATTATATAATTATGTTATTTTTTTTAGGAAGCCACTGAAGAAAATGAACAAGAGAATGTTTCTGGAGCTATGCCTATAATTTATAATGAACTTACAGGTTGTGAGCAGTAACTTGTCCACCATTCTGCATAAGTATTAGTAACATAGTGCTATTATTTGTTTTATGTTAACAACTAAAAAGAGCAAAAACCCATTTATGCATGACTGAAAATGAAAATTAAAATCATCTGTAAATAGAGGCCAAGAATTTTTTTTAAAAAAAAATACAAAACCCATATTTTTTAAAGATAAAGGGAGAAAATTAGAAAAAAATTCATTAAAATGTCTCATAGAGACAGAATTTACAAATTAGACTTAAAACCTGAGCCCTAGAAACAACATCCTGGACACCATGGATTACAGATAGACCTCAACTTACAACTATTCATTTAGTGACCATTCAAAGTTACAATGGTACTGAAAAAGTGACTTATGACCACTTTTCAAACTTACAATTGTTGCATCATCCTCCTGGTCACATGATTAAAATTCAGACACTTGGAAACTGCCATGTATTTATGATGGTTGCACCATCCTGATGTCATGTGATCAGGTTTGTGAGCTGAAAAGCAAAGTCAATGGGGAAGCCAGATTCACTTAACAACTGTGCTACCAACTTAACAACTCCAGTGATTCATTCAACAACTGTGGTAAGAAGTCGTAAAATGGGGCAAAACTTACTTAATAGCTTAGCAACAGAAGTTTGGGCTCAGTTGTGGTTGTAAGTTGATGACTACCTGTATGGCAATAAATCTGAATAATGAGCTCATTAACAAATAAATAAATAAATAATGTTCAGAAATCCTTTTCTCGGGAATTTATTATTAGTTAACCAACTAATTAGTGTGAATTTCATTCAATTGTCCTTTGCATTTATAATACCATTCTGAATTATTTGTTCATTCCCAGATGAGGCAAATTAATCCTCAAAATATCAGTCATTAGCAGTCACAACTGACTATTCTATGTGAGATATTGCTATTATAAAATACATTCAGTGATTTGTAAAAATAATACTGTTTAAATTTGCAGCTGAGGTTCATCTGGAACAGTTGTGGTGGAAAAATATTGTCCCTTGGGCTGTTTTCACACCACATTTTCAACAAATTTAAAGTTCCAACTATACATATCTTGGATCTCAAGTTCAAAATCATTCTATGCTTTTGAATAGTAAGCCACAAAATAGCAGTTGTGGAGCAGAACTATTTAGCACACCACTCCTATAATTTTAAGGCTAGAGTTGGGACATACCTGCCTCATTCATCAAAGCCAATTCGAAGCATCTGACTTACAGAATGCATTGCAGTGACTGAAAACTCATACATATATGCAAGAAGTGTCATATATGCTTCTGAAGAGTCAAAATGTGTTAAAAGAGATATTTAGGAGTTGTTTCTTTGTACATGAAATGCCTTCTCTTGCTGACTTCAATCATTTCAAATAGACAATACCTGTGTTGACACATGGGCACATACATATTAAGCCAAAATTGTTTGATTTTCACTTGGTGTTATGTGTGACTCCAGGTACTATATGATTTGCAACAATGGTTGAAATTAGCCTTCCCCAAACTCAATGTCCTCTAGTAATACAGAGTTCAATTCCCTACCTCTTAGGGAATTGGTGGGTTAGCCATGCTAGTTAAGCAGTTCTGGGAGTTGCCCTACTTCCAGAAGTACCTAAGTTGGAGAAGTGGTTTAAGTCTCCTGTTGATTGTTTTAATAGCTTTTGGTGGATTTATGTTTTTAGTTATTTTTTTATTGCTTTTGTATTTTTCATTTCATTATGTGAGTTGAGTGGCTACATGAACAGAACAAATTACTGTTATATGTGAAATGCCTGATGAATCACTTATTTGGAAAATGGAATATTGTCAACTACTTTTTACTTTCACCCAAAGTTGGTATTAAAAACCCAAAGTTGGGTATTAAAAACTACTCAACAATGTAATGTTAGCCATCCTCTTTCTACATGCTAGGTATGTATTGGAATAACATTATGCTTTTGAATTAAGTTATTTTAGCACATCAAGAATAGACAGCCTTTTGTGATCATGGTCTGTACATTGTTGTTGTTAAACCATTTTTTGATTTCTGATGACTGCAGGAGTTACAAATATGACACAACAATGCCACTAGAGATTAGGATTAGAATTTCTGAATTGATTTATGAAAGTCAGTAGGGTTCTTTGAAATAAATAAAATGTATGGATTCTACCAAACATTTAATGCATCTACAATTCAGCATCACTTTGATTGCTTAAAGGAAAAAAATCATACCACTGTCATTCATTAAAATACTGAATTCAGAAATATAACTTCCTTAGAAATATACATTAATTTTGGTGGAAGGTACAGTACCTCACCAGTTAGATTTCTTTAAATGTGCACAATTGAAAAAAGTAATAATCGTTGTTATCATTTACTACTACTGTTTGGGAGATAAAAGACTTTGCTGTAGTTGTCTTGGAAGAAAATATTTAATACTTTGAAAAACAATTTAGACATTGAAAGCAATGTCATTAGATATCTAGATATAAATATCCAAGAGGAGAATCAGTTTGATGTAGTGATTATGAAGCTGGTCTAGAAATCAGGAAACTGTGAGACCTAGTCCTACCTTAAGCAAGAAAGTGAGCAGGATGACCTTGGGCCAGTCACTGTCTCTCAGCCCAATCCAACTCTTGTTTGTTGTGGAGAAAATAGGAGGAAGTATTATTTATGTTCACTGTCTTACATGAAGTAATAAAGGTGGGATAACAGTCTAATAAATAAATAAAATGGGGCAGAGGATTCTTCTGTGAACTTATTTATATTTTATGTTAATTATTTTAGTAGTAATTTTGTAGTAATTTTGTTTTAATTGTTTATTTTATTGCTACCCAGAGTCATATCAGTGAAATGAGCAGCTATACGTGCTTAATGAATGAATGAATAAATGAAGAAAGAAACATGGGGGGGGGCTGACATAGATGTTGTACATAGCAGCACAAAATAAATCCACCTTCAAAATAAATCTGAGTAGTTACCATAGTCTGCAGACCATTTTTTTTTTATTCTTCATATGTTATAACCAATTACTGCTAGGAAGAAATGGACACCTCACGCAACATTCACACATAAAATATTGAAACCAGCTGTAGCAGAACTGCTGTAAGAATGAAGGTTTTTCCATTTAATTGGAAAAACAGGAGGAAACATAACATTTTACTGTTATGAGTAACTTTAAGCAATCTTGATAAGATATTGCTGAACTCTTAAGGCAAGACATATGCTTTCTGTTATGTTCTGCTGCATCTATTTTACTGTTTGCTCACTTAATTGGGTTGGGAAATGCATGTTTCTTTATAGGATAAATTAGACTTAATTAGAAAAACACTGCTGCTTTTAATAAGTAACTCCTTTCTCATGTGTATATATAAACTGTTTGCTTGAGGGGTGTCAAATTCGATTTCACTGAGGGCCGCATCAGGGTTCTGGTTGACCTTGGGGGGCCGGGGTGGACATAGTGGGAGTGGGCATGGCCAGGGTGGATGTGGCCACCTCAACATTGCTCGTGTCAGGGGGCGCCTGTGGTGGCCTGGGCAGGGCTGGGGGGATCCATTGCTTCCAGCCTAGGAAGGTGAGACCAGGACGAGCACTATACCCTTGTCCACCAGAGGAGCCTTGCTGTCCCTCTCAGGCCATGCAGAGAACCCCCAGTGATGCAGGCTGCCCAGAGCCCTGGGCAGTGGAGGGCAAGTGCCCAATCCAGCCTTTCCCGAGGCTGTGCTTATCTCCTCCTCAAAGCTGCTGCTGACTGGCTTGCTCTCCTTAGCAAAGTTGCTCATGGTGTGTGCGGGAGGGCAAAATGTGTGGGTTAGAGGGAGGCCCATTCCCTCTCCCTGCGAGGAGACCCTGCTTTGTAACCAAAGCATCCTCAGCAATAGGATGGGAGACCACCAGGAGACATCAGGAGGAAGGGACAAGGGGATAATGAAAGGGCAGCAGGGCTGCTCGTGGCCAAATGCTAAGGCAGGACTTCTCTCAGACCTTCCTCCCTCTCATTATAATCTTCATTCCTTCCCCCCTCCCTCCCTTTTTTCCTCCCTTCCTCATCTCTTCCCTTCCTCCGCGCTCAGGAAGGGGTGATGGGAGGGGGAGAGATTGCCAGCACTGCTGGTGTCCATGCTGCCACCGGCCGTCACTATCCCACGCAGGCAGGCAGGGCCAGTCCCGATGAAAGGGAAGCCTTGTGGCTGCGAGGCTAGGTCAACGAGCAGGCCATGGAGGTGTTGATGGGAGGGGGGGGTTGCACTGACCTACAACCTAGTTGTGTCCATCAAAGCCAGAATGCGCTCAGCCTTAGATCCATGGGGCAGCCCTGGAACCAGTGAGGAGCCGCCCTGTTACCTCTGCCCAGCCCCTGCGCACAAGAGACAGCCAGCGACAGTGTCCTGAGTGAAGTCAGCCTGTGGGGCAAGACAGCCAGCATGGATGCCAGACTCCACTTGCACGCACGTCCAGGGGGCAGGGCGCAGTCACCCATCACTAGTTTCAGGGCTGCTCTGTGGATCTAAGGCTGAGCACGTTGTGGCGTTGATGGCTGGCACCAGGTTGTAGGATCAGTGCCCGGTCAGCCTGGGCCGGGCTGAGGTGCCGTGGGCCGATCCTTCACTGTTTCCAGAGCAGGTCCCTGGGCCAGAGGGAACCACATGGTGGACCGGATCCGGCCCACGGGCCTTGTGTTTGACATGTCTGGCTTAATATATGGTTTTAAATTCAATATGAAAAGGATAGTTTTTAAAAAATAGCTTTTGAAAGGATCATTCATAAAAATAACAATGTTAATAAGGTGCCATAGCTAAGACAGAGGAAGAACAATGCAAAGCAAAACATAAAATAGATTAACATAGCAGGCCTCTTGATTAAAGAGAATGAAAAAATGATAACGTGGAAAAAAAATAAAAATCATTTACACAGAATTCCAATTTTAAAATGTCAATGACAAAAAATGTGAAATTTTGAGCTGATTTATCAGAAACAATTCTTTAGAGCCCTGATTTCAAAAAATTATTAACTCTCCAGTAAAAATTGACATTTTTAAATAGCACCTTTAAGAACTTGTGGAGATTGTGATGTTCCGA